AAAACTGATATAATAATGAAATGAAGTGATTAGTGCAGTGTTGATATAAAAAATTTGTAAGGTAATGGGGAAATTTTAACAACAAATAACTTTACAACTGCTACCATTTCTACGCAAAATGTTGAATATATCTGTCAATGAGCACTTCCTCAACACCCCCTGCAAATTTCATTAGAAAAATTGTGATACTTTGCCTCAAATGGGAATTGGTCCATTATTGGAAATCTCAGCCGAAATTCGGCATGAATTATATGGGTCGTTCTTAAAAAACATGACCAATTGGTGTCCCCAGACTTTACTATTTAATATTTTGTTTCTTCAAAAAGAAAATAGAAAAATATCTGCATTTTTATAAATTATTATCGATTCTACGTAACTATATTATAAAAAAAAAATAATTAATTATCTGAAAATAACTTAAAAAATATTTTTTATTAGCAAAAACCTGTGTCCCGAGCCAATTTATAAAAATTTAATAGTTATTTTCAGTTGAAATAAAATTAAAAAAAAATTATATTTACAATTTTTGTTATTCAGTTTGTGTATATTAATACCATATATAGAAAAGAATGATGAAAAATAATTTTTTTGTATAATTTTTATGAAGAAAATTTGTGTCCCCAGGTTTTGGTCCCCTCTGTTACGTCCACTCATTTTATTGAAAAATGTTTGTTAAACGTTATGACGCGTATATTTCTCTTATGCTTCTCCATCATAACTTAGCTAAAATCAACAAAATGTGTTTTGAACTGTTCAGTCTTGTTTAGTGCGTTGTTGAGTAAGGAACCCAATTGTATGCCGGGTACGTACCCTTATTCAGTGTCAACTCTGTTACTGTTGAAAAACGGTGAGTAAAGTGATTTTTTATTTATTTTATAATTTTTTTATAAATATTTTATGTACATTAATTAAGTGGACAAATAAATTCTCCAAAATTCGATTAAAAAGCTAAAATATGGTATTTTTGAGTTAATTTGTCCCCTCTGTTACCGGTCCACTCTGTGACTTATTAACTCCAAAAACTCCAAAAATTAAAAAAATACTGCTGGTTATGGATTCCTATTGTTGATACCATCCGTAACCACATGAGGCCAATTATAAACATATTTGGCCAACTTAATTTTTAAAAATTACAAAATTCAGAATGGTCATGTTTTTTAAGAACGACCCATATGCTTTGACTGGGGAAATTTGCAGTCTCCACCTGACATTTCCGTCTTTCCACAGCTTTTTTAACAGAATCCGTAGAAGGTGGAGACGGGGGGGTATAGGACAAGGCGCTTCATAATTGGTTTAAAAATATCGATACCAAAATTAGTTGGTATCGATCAAAAAGTATCGAGTATGTACTTGTATTTACTCGTATCGTTTCATACCTATTTCTAAGTTTTGTTTACTTTTCAATAGATATCGTTATTGGCGCTTTTAAGCAGGCTATAAACTTTTCGCTGTATTTTAAGATAAAAAACCATGACTATTATTTACAAGGTTCATGGAAATTCTACCCCCAATACAAACAAAAGAATTATCTGTAGAATATCTACCAGAAATGTTGTTGCATTCAGTGTCCTTCAGGAGCTGGAATCCGAAAGCCAGATATTTGTTTGTGATCTTATTTCTCCGTGGCAAACATATTGTGTAACAAATTCCAAGAATGTTTTGACAGTTTTAGAGTGGAGTAGTAATGGAGAACTACTACTAGCTGGTTACAATGCTGGACTAATCGAGATATGGACAACAGAAAAAGAGTTAAATTCTTGGTTTCTGCTTTACAAAGTAAACTTTCCTGGCGAGGACATCATATCAGCTAAGTTTTTTCACAACGGAAAGAGTATATATTTTCACTCACAGAAAAAGGACTTGCCGACATATGCGGATAAATTCGAACGTTTAGAGCATCGCCCAACAGTGGAACATTTTGGAAATGCGCCAACTGAAGGAGCTGTCATAATTACGGCATCCGGTTTGGTAGGTGCATTCATTACCCCACACAAAAGAGTCAACGAATCAAATCCCCATTTCATCGAACTCAAGGCTAATACGCAAAGTATTGGACTTTCCCGTTTTTACATTTCTCTTTGTAGCATGTCACATTGCTCGAGTGGCCATCTGAACGTCGCAGTGAATTACAGTTGTAGGCCAAAAATTGTTTACTGCTTTAAAATTGGAGTAAAGTTGGATAATGACAATATATTTCTGAAGAGTGAAGCACTCCCTAGTATATTTTCTAACACAGTCAATTATAAGCAAATATCCAACATTGGCTGGATTAATTCTAATAAGGAAGATGTACTTTATATCGGATACAATACAATGGATGGTAGTTTACTTGAGCAGTGGCATTTAAGCAAAAAACATCAATCGGTGCATAAATTACTTCAAAAGAACAAAGGAGATTTTGTTCAGAGCGAGATTTGGGAAAATATAGCAAAAGGGCATTTCACAGCAGGAATATCAGACGTTTGCAGCTCTAAACTTTTAACACAAATATCGCAAATTTATGTTGTTCTGAGGGATAATACTGTACAAATTGTTGAACCTGGTTTGAAAAAGGTGGCTTTAGCTATACCAGATCGTACGATGGCGGATGATCGTTATGGTCAATACAAGTTCGTGTCAGCAGACGGAACGCACATGAATCAGATACTTGTTCTCTTTGATAACTTTGGGCAAATGTATGCCATGCAAGTAACGAGTCCAATTTCTGAAAAGAATTACAAGTTGAATACGTTATCTCTGCAAACGTCGCTTTTAGAGTATTCTATAATAACTGGGATCGACCCAAGTGATATCCTTATGCTTAATTTGGGTAATCTCGATATACTTATTGAAAAACTAACCGAAAATTTTACAAAACAATCTACAATAACTAGACATTTCTACTATTCGAATTTCTTGTGCTTAAAGAGCAACATGTGCAGAATTCAATCAAGACAACAAGATTTCGATAACTTGATAGTTTTACACACAATATCAATAACATTTAAAAGCCTTCTTCGACCTGCAGACCTTAGTTGCCAAGATAAAGGTCCAGGGGATAACTTAGCTATGATACTATCTGACCAATCTACAGATATTGACAAAGTTTTATTCAGTTTAGATGGCAAAGATTTTGCAGTTGAGCCATTGACATTACAAAGCTTACAACAATTAATCCAGTGGGTTTCTGATTTAGCATTGAGTATATTAAATAAACTTCCTAATGAAGTCATCAAAGCGAAGTTAAGTAAGAAGCAAGGATACGATATTAGCAGGGACAGCGTTGCAATTAGCAGTATTCGCGAGCTCTTAGTAATGACAAGAATTTGGGGCCTATTAAACCCCCAATGTTTACCTACGTATACGAAGTCTGTGGAAAATATTGATGTGCTGGCTACTTTGTTTCGACTTTTGACTCGTCTCGCTCAAAATACAGCCGAACCTGATGATTTTTTATTAGATGAATGCAGTCTCTTATCTACGCAGGTATTAATTCCGCAAAGGCAGTTTAATAATCCAGCAACACTATTAAACAACCACCTATCTCTCTACAAGTCGTATCCATTCATTTTTGCTTCAGCAATGGAACCAAGTTGGCTAAAAGACATAAATTATGAGGAAGTCGTGTTTGCCAGTGGCACGAAAGATGGTGTGAGTAACTTGCATTTAGGAGCTAAAGCTAGTTCACTTCGACGCTGTATTCGTTGTGGCTTGGTAAATAGCTTACAAAACGTAGCCAAAACTGCAGCTATGAAAGCATGGTGCCAGCGATGGTTGTATTGTCATTGTGGCGGGTACTGGATGAAAGTATAAAAACACATAAATAAACATAATTTAATTAACAAAATAAATATTTTTTTTATTTTTTAATTTTGCCTCAGCTAAAATTGTATTTTCGAAGGCACCCTGAAATTGTGCATATGGAAACTGTGCATACGAAATAATGCATATGAATAAAACCGAAATAATGCATACGAAAAAAACCGAAATAATGCATATATGCACAGTTTCGGTTGAAAACCGAAATAATGCATATGAAAAAAATCGAAATAATGCATATATGCACAGTTTCGGTTGAAAACCGCAATAATGCATATTAGAAAAACCGAAATTATGCATATGAAAAAAACCGAAATAATGCATATATGCACAGTTTCGGTTGAAAACCGAAATAATGCATATGAAAAACCCGAAATAATGCATACATGCACACTTTCGTTTGAAAACCGAAATAACGCATATGAGAAAAACGAAGTAATGCATACATGCACAGTTTCGGTTCAAAACCGAAATAATGCATATGACAAAAACCGAATTAATGCATACATGCACAGTTTCGACTCAAAACCGAAGTAATGCATATGACAAAAACCGAAATAGTGCATACATGAAAACGAACTTCTTTCTGAGTAGGCGGCCTTCGGCCGCGCTTAGGGATTATAACCCTTACTAAGTAGTATTCTCCTTTGGGGCACCGAAATTGCGCATATGGAAACTGTGCATTTAGACATTATT